AAAAAAACAAAGCCAATAAAAAAGTGCACATTTCACATTTTTAACAAAAGGTGGCGACTGGCAAACAAGTTTTTAATCACTATTTGTAACAGTCAGCCACCCTGTGGCAATCGTTAATTTTAATGTAAGCCCTAACTCATAACCAAAGATTAAATGTTATTGGCTTAATAGCTGTTAAATTTTGATTAATAAAAAATTTTGAATGAGAGATGACATCGATTGAGAACATAGTGAATATTTTATCTTGCATTATAACCACGTTGAACACCGGATCCAATTTTGGGTTTACAATTACCAATGTTCAACTTCGTAGCCTTGTAACTTTGATCCCAATTCAGAAGAAAAGGGATCTCCTGGATCAAATATTGGGAGAAAATTGCGTGGGGGACTTTTTTTGATGTAATTAACCTGAATTTGAATTACATAAAGAGAAAAACCACAAAATTTCCCACGGTTAGCCTGACAGCAAAGGGACTATAACTCATGATCCATCTATCACTGAGGATATTTTACATCAGCACTGTGGTCGGTGTGAGCCGGGTGCAGAATTTGCATTGACCAGCCATTACTGGGATTCAAACCCGGTTCACCCCTGAGCCACTGCGGCTATCTCGAGGGGCACACTTTAGATATTCTAAACAATAAGCACTGAAAATATTTTAAAATACAATGTCAAACACCAAAGGCTACATTAAACATTTCTCTATGAAATACAATGATCTTTGTATCATCGTTATATCATAAGATATTCAAGGTGAATACTTTTTGTGCTCCGTACTTGAGCTTTACTTTATTTCAGAGTATTAATTTTGCCTTTTCTTTAACTTTAAGTTGCCTACATTCTCTCAAGAAATAAATTGTTTCTACATTTTTTATCAACGTAAAGCAGGAAAAAATATGTATGGATTTGATTGGAATAATGATGCTTAGAAGCTCAAAATGAGAGTGATCAGTAAAACAAAACATAATAGAGGAATATTTAATGCAAAATTTGGTTAAACATTTTTAGTCATTTACATTTTTGCAGTAAATAAAAATAATTTAACATGTTCCTCTATTCTCGAAAGGAATAAATGTACATAATTCAGCTACTGTGAATATAGCTAAATCCTACAAGGGATTGGCAAGTGAAGAGAACAAATTCTTTTTAATTACTTATTACGCTATTTTCATAGCAGTCGTATAACAATAACACTGAATTAACAATTATACCCAAAAGTATATATCAATATTAACTTTCGACAAAGTGTGTTTCAGTAGAAAAGGGCTAAATTTTATTGATAAGAACAATCAAACAATTCAAATTTAAAAGTCAGACTAGAAAAGTTATGTAATTCAACTTTGTAGTGCCAATTAAAAGATTTTTTTAAGAATTTTAAATTTTTTGATATTGTTAAAAAAAAATTTGAATATTTCCTATGAGCAAAAAAGATTTCCCCAAAAGTTAGGAATCCTCCAATATCTTTTCATGAAAGCTGGCAGCTATGCAGTTAATTTTTTTTTTACCTGGAGTTATTACAAAACATACAATGACTATTACCATACTTACATACATGGATATCAGAATAGGATTTCTGTTTTTTCCATTCAGCCATTCTTTAGCTGTAAGTGATGGAGTAGGCGCAGCAGTGTCAGGAACAAATCTTCTTGAAATTGCTCCGGCTAATTAAAATTAAGTTTTGAATATAATATATAAAACTTATACTTTTAAATATAATATATAAAGTAAATATATAAAACCAGTTACGATATATTTTTGATGCTTAATGAATAAAATCAAGAAATATCATCAAGACAAGCGACAATTACTATAAGACATCATGACGCCTGGCAAAAGGTAAAACAGTAACTAGAATCAAAAAAGGAATTCTCTGTTCTAAAGTAGAACTTAAGAGAATTTCCAAGGGTAGTTACGAAGTTAGTTGTAAATATGTTGATTACAATATCTGTTATTCTTTTGTGTTTATCATATCCCACTTGAACGAAAAAGGTTTAAATATCAAAGTTTTGTCATATGAAAAGAAGGAAATACTGTCAAACCTCATTAATCCGAAATCACTTAGGGTGAAATATCGCTTTACATGAAATATATGTTTGGTCCCATGAGTCAGCAATAAATTATTGTGTTTTACAGAATATTTGACATGAAAATTTCTTTCTGAATATTGCTTTACATGAAAGGTCACAACACTGATAAGAAGCATGTGCATGCTATTTATTCCTTTTGAGGAATGCTATTTCCATTATCCACATTTGTTAGGAGTAGTAGATTAAAGTTATTAAAATTTTTAAGCTTATTTTAAATTGTTTGGTACATAAGCGTAGTGCATGATATGCATTAATAGTACATAATAAATTGTTTTCATAATGTATGGGATAAGATGAGCTTTGGTTAACATAAATAATTATGATAGTCCCGCCAATTTTGCGTTAACGAGGTTCGGAAGGAAATTTCGAGGGTAGGAAATTCGAATTTGGAAGAGGAATTTTTATTTGCTACGAATTTTTAAAATTATTAAATGTTTTCTTTAAAGAAACAAAAGCATCCTTAGTAGTTAACATGATATTTTACTAAAGGTATTTCAGCACTTCTACCTAAGCACTACAGCCTGTTGTACATCAACCCTTCATTTTCTTCATCTGACATCAATCGAACACCACGAATCTCCATCTGTGATAGATCTGGCTATCTTGTGGATAACCTTCGTTTCTTTTCACTGTTTTCCTAAGTAGTTGGGGAAATTTGTTTTAGTGAAGTGATCGACCGTGTGCTAAATCGCCAAAATTACCTTCGTACAGTATCTTCCCCCTGACCTGGGTTACTCTGCCTATTTCATTTTATAGTGATAATTAAGGCCAAGAAACATGCAAAATTTCATTGATTTCACAATATGCAATAAATAATGCATATTTTTTAGTATAAATCTATTTTTAGATTCATGAATTTTTTTCTCCAAAAAAGTTTAATAAAATGCCCTTTTTTTTAAATCTGTAGACACACTTTTCTATTTATTTTCATTTACATATTTTTAGCCCAAATCATATTAGGTACTAGTTAGAGAGATAAAAAAAATAAATAAAGTAATAGATAGGAACCAGGGTGGCCACTCAAATCAGATTTCAAATTTCCCTGATTTTTCCAAAAATCTTAAAATTTCCAATTAATAGTTATATAATGTTGTTTTGAATTAGCATTATTATTTTAAGAGATTCAGTATACAAAATAAATGTTACAAATGTGAAATTGTCTAATTTTTTGTTCTATAGACTATAGGAAAAAAAAAAGATAAAATTCCTAAATTTTATACTTTTCTGATTTTTTTTTACTTGAAATTCAGACATTTAGAGAATTCCAATCTAAACACACAGTTTTTTAGTTTAGCGTTTAGCATAGTTAATTGTTTTTGTGTTTCAACAATTAGAATCTTGTACAGTACACAACTGAAACACTAAGTTTCGTTCTCCTTCCTCAGACTAAACACATATGAATAAAAAAATATATATTTTATGTTTATACATCATTTAATATGTTTCCTATATATTACTTAGTCAGTATCAGCTTTTTAGGGTAAAAGGAGAGATAGTTTTGGAAATATCATCTCTGGAATACAAGCAACATTTACGAACTTTTGATATTGTGATAACTGTACAATTTGAATTTTGAATCAAAAATCAAAAGTTCTAAAAATTTTATTGATTATTTTATTTTATTTATTAATTTTATTTTATTTAAAATACTATTTGTTCTAAAAAGAACCTTTTTTTAAAAATTAAAATATGTAATAAAAGGTTAAAATGAAATAGAAAAAATTAGCATTAATGCAACAATTGTAACAATAAGTGGACAAACATTGCTGTTAGTGATTGTAAAAATATGTGAGATTGGTTAGTTTGCTGAGAAAAAATAATTTATAGATTTCTTTGAATGGGAGTACAAAAGATTTCAGAAAAAGAGTGCAATATAAAATCTATTATTATTAAATTATAACCAACTAATTTTTGGAGAATTTCATTCAAAAATACAAAAACATTTTGACTCATTTTGTCAAAATAGAAAAAAATTACCACCAAATAATCGGAACAAACTTGAGCCATAAATGGATTCAGCCCACAGACAGAATTTAAAAACAGCAGCAAATATCTTAGCCCCTTCTTGCACGTCCAGCACAATCTTTGCTTTTCTTAAATTGCACAGTCCCATAGTCTCCACAGAAATCAAAGGTTTCTACATTTGTTTAGCAACCATGGGAGAATTTTATGTGGCATTCTAGTTTAACAGGGATATAATGGAGCAAATTTTGATGCAAACTAAGTGGATGACATTTTAACTGTGTGGAGATATATTTCCATCTAAAAAATGTGGGTATAATGGATGAAATAATTTAAATTAAGAAAATTAGTAAATAATTTAAATTAGTGAAATTAAAAAATATCTAAGATAAAAATTTCCAGCTCTTCTTTAAACTTCCCTGATTTTTCCAGGTTTTTATCTAAATTTCCTTGATTTTTGCCAGTATAAAAAAATTCCCTAATAATTCCAGGTTTTCCAGGTGGGTGGCCACCCTGAACACTATAGTTAACACTAAGTTCTTACAGTCTCAATTATCAATATATCTATGTAGTTAGTTACATTTCTTTTTATAAAATTATTTATACACTTCTTCTTTCACATTACTCATAACAGCAGATTCAAAAAATTCTTTTTCTTCTATTTATGATAAGATCCTCTATTTATGATTGGATACACTTTGAAAACCACAGAATTATACCAATGCATAGTATCGCATTTAATAAAAATAGTGATTTTGAAAATTCTTGAATCTAACAGAAAAAAAGATATTAAATTATATTGACACAAATGAACACTACTTTGTAAAACATTATTAAGGGTATATGTAAGTAACTAAAAAAATTAAAATACCTATTTTCAGCCCACAGACAGAATTTAAAAACAGTAGCAAATATCTTAGCCCCTTCTTGCACGTCCAGTACAATCTTTGCTTTTCTTAAATTGCACAGTCCCATAGTCTCCATAGAAATCAAAGGTTTCTACATTTGTTTAGCAACCATGGGAGAATTTTATGTGGCATTCTAGTTTAACAGGGATATAATGGAGCAAATTTTGATGCAAGCTAAGTGGATGACATTTTAACTGTTTGGAGATATATTTCCATCTAAAAAATGTGGGTATAATGGATGAAATAATTTAAATTAAGAAAATTAGTAAATAATTTAAATTAGTGAAATTAAAAAATATCTAAGAAAAAATTTCCAGCTCTTCTTTAAACTTCCCTGATTTTTCCAAGTTTTTATCCAAATTTCCTTGATTTTTTTCAGTATAAAAAAATTCCCTGATAATTCCAGGTTTTCCAGGTGGGTGGCCACCCTGAACACTATAGTTCTTATAGTCTCAATTATCAATATACCAATGTAGTTAGTTACATTTCTTTTTATCAAATTATTTATACATTTCTTCTTTCAAATNCCCTGATAATTCCAGGTTTTCCAGGTGGGTGGCCACCCTGAACACTATAGTTAACACTAAGTTCTTATAGTCTCAATTATCAATATATCAATGTAGTTAGTTACATTTCTTTTTATCAAATTATTTATACATTTCTTCTTTCAAATTATTTATAACAGCAGATTCAAAAAATTCTTTTTCTTCTATTTATGATAAGATCCTCTATTTATGATAGGATACACTTTGAAAACCACAGAATTATACCAATGCATAGTATCGCATTTAATAAAAATAGAGATTTTGAAAATAACAGAATAAAAGTATAAAAGATACTTCGGGGATAACAATCCAAGAAAAAATTTATCTATATTAACACCACAACAGATTTTTTTTAAAGAAAATAATAGCAAGAATAAATTAGAACAGCTAAAAATGCCTTATCCTTATTAGTATAGAAAAAAAAAAAACTTAAAATTTTATAAAAGGCTTTTCATTCTTTCTAATTGAAAATATTTTAAAGTTATTTGAAAAAATTAAATAAGTGAAATTTTCACTGAATAAGGAGACCAAAGTTTTTCTTTTAAAAATTTATGTAAGATCCATTTTAAAAAGTTTATTTTCTGATTTGAACAGGAAATCTGACTTAGAAAGTACATTTTTATTTATTAACAATACTCATAATTAGTAATAATATAACAACAGAACAAAGTTTAAAGTTAATGAATACATTTTTAAAATAGTTTATGCATTTCGATTGAAAATAAAAAAACTAAAACATTTTTTGAATAAAAAAAATTTAAATTCCAAATAAAATTTTATGCTGTTGTAGTTCATTTACGTTGCACTAGAGCTGCACAATGGGCTATTGGCGATGGTGTGGGAAACATCCCTGAGGGTGATCCGAAGACATGCCATCACAATTTTGATCCTCTGCAGAGCGGATGACACCCCTGCTTTGGTAGTCCGACGACCTGCACGCGAAGTTGAGCATTTTACGGTAGAGCAGTAACGAGGACCAATACAGCACCCCGTCGGTCCCTATGCAGAATGATCCAAGAGGTCACCCACCCACACACTGACCATAGCCAGTGATGCTTGACTTCGGTGATCAGCTGGGTCTTAACAATCAGTCCACTGTGGGACTGAAATTTGATGTACATTTGCTTTAATTTATATACTTTAAATAACTAAATAAAAAACAATCATTTTTCTGATTGATTAAAAAATTGGAAAGAGTCACATCAAAACTGGGACTTAACGGCTACAAGACATATATTCTTACCACCATTTAATATAAATAAGAATACATCGAAGTTGCTTAAAACTTAAACTCTCAAATAAAAAATTTATCTTAAAACAAAAAAAAAATATCGATACTTGGCGAAAGAGTAATCTGAAAAAGAAACATAGATGATTTGCAAATATTGGTTTCTTTCTTTATAACACTTTGTCAAGATAATATTTATTAGATAATTAAATTATAATTTGAATAAAATATACACAGTGAAATTTTGTTTTTAAAAAAAGTTTTTTCCCCCTAAGTGGCTAATTTCATTTCAGTGAAAATAGGTAGCCATGTAACTTAATTTATGAAAGTACATTAAAATATTAATACCTTTAACACAAGTTTTCTTTACAAATTTTCAACCAAATAGTTTTTTTATTGAATAATAAAGTAATATCCAGAAAAATGAAGAACATGTTGCGCAAGGAAATAACTAAGTCTAATCTTAAACTAAAAACACATCGGGATGTATAAAAAGATGGATATAATAGCTTCAACTCTTGCAAAGCTTACAAACAATTAAAAAAAATTGTTTCAAATTAAAAACCTGGTTTATTTATTTTTGATTTAAAAAAGTTGAATTTAAATTAAAAAATAACTAAGAGAACACTTACTTGTCAAATTCATTTTCACACCAGTCAGGCTCTCTAAGTTTTTGTTCATGCCACTGATAAAAAACCATATCTAAATCACTGCCAAGAAAAAGATAAGAGAATAAAACAACTCATTTCATTTATCATTACTTTGAAGAAATATTTTAGCTCAAAAGACAAATATTTCCAAATGCTGCAAAAAGACTAAAAAATCTTATAGTATGAAATAAAAACAATATTATTTTTAAAAATTAAATACAATTATTTTTTAAGGACTACAAGTTGCACTACTCTGGTACAAAGTTTTCTTTTTAATAGAATTGATGGTAATGTAAAAAAATAATTACATACCTTTTATCGAAATGAAAATGCTTTCAAAATTAAAATTTTATTAAAAAATTAAATTTTTTTTCAAACCTAGGAAATGCAGGGCAATATAATTTCTAATTCTTGATGCCCATACGCATAAAATATTCAGGAGTTGTTAGATGGTATAGAGCAAAATTTAAAAACTATGGCAACAGCCAGTTGTAGCATTTTTAACAGTAGAAACTTTTTAAAAAATAGAAAATTTCGAATGGTTAAAAATTTTCAATAAATAATAATATCAGGCATTTCTTTTGAAGCATCTCTCAAAATATGGTAAATATTACAATTGTAAAATGAAGAAAATTTCCTAAGTGTTATGAATATTCATATTAATTCCATATTTACATAAAAAAACAAAGCCAATAATAAAGTGCACATGTTTCACATTTTTAACAAAAGGTGGCGACTGGCAAACAAGTTTTTAATCACTATTTGTAACAGTCAGCCACCCTGTGGCAATCGTTAATTTTGATGTAAGCCCTAACTCATAACTAAAGATTAAATGTTACTGACTTAATAGCTGTTAAATTTTGATTAATAAAAAAATTTGAATGAGAGATGACATCGATTGAGAACATAATGAATATTTTATCTTGCATTATAACCACGTTGAACACCGGACCCAATTTTGGGTTCACAATTACCAATGTTCAACTTCGTAGCCTTGTAATTTCGATCTCAATTCAGAAGAAAAGGGATCTACTGGATCAAGTATTGGGAGAAAATTGCGTGGAGGACTTTTTTTGATGTAATTAACCTGAATTTGAATTACATAAAGAGAAAAACCACAAAATCTCCCACAGTTAGCCTGACAGCAAAGGGACTATAACTCATGATCCATCTATCACTGAGGATATTTTACATCAGCACTGTGGTCGGTGTGAGCGGGGTGCAGAATTTGCATTGACCAGCCATTACTGGGATTCAAACCCGGTTCACCCCTGAGCCACTGCGGCTATCTCGAGGGGCACACTTTAGATATTCTAAACAATAAGCACTGAAAATATTTTAAATTACAATATCAAACACCAAGGGCTACATTAAACATTTCTGTATGAAATACAATCATCTTTGTATCATTGTTATATCATAAGATATTTAAGGTGAATACTTTTTGTGCTCCGTACTTGAGATTTATTTTATTTCAGAGTATTAATTTTGCCTTTTCTTAAATTTTAAGTTGCCTACATTCTCTCAAGAAATAAATTGTTTCTACATTTTTTATCAATGTAAAGCAGGGAAAAATAGGTACGTATTTGATTGGAATAATGATGCTTAGAGGCTCAAAATGAGAGTAACTAGTAAAACAAAACATAATAGAGGAATATTTAATGCAAAATTTGGTTAAAAATTTTTAGTCATTTACATTTTTGCAGTAAATAAAAATAATTTAACATGCTCCTCTATTCTCGAAAGGAATAAATGTATATAATTCAGCTACTGTGAATATAGCTAAATCCTACAAGGGATTGGCAAGTGAAGAGAACAAATTCTTTTTCATTACTTCTTACGCTATTTTCATAGCAGTCGTATAACTAACAATAACACTGAATTAACAATTACACCGAAAAGTATATATATATATATTAACTTTCGACAAAGTGTCTTTCAGTAGAAAAGGGCTAAATTTTAATGATAAGAACAATCAAACAATTCAAATTTAAAAGTCAGACTAGAAAAGTTATATAATTCAACTTTGTAGTGCTAATTAAAAGATTTTTTTAAGAACTTTAAATCCTTAGTTTATTTAATTTTAAAATATTGACATTGATTATTCTTGTATTAGGCTCTAGATATGATAACATATTATAACATCAGTACAAATATTAGTATAATTTGAAATAATTTGTTGAGTAACGTAAACAAGTGTTTAATTGCCTTTAAACCACAGAGAGAAAAAATGCTAAATGAAAAGAATAAAATTTCCTTTTAATCAAACATGAAATGACACTTTAAAATTTTTGAAACTTATTATAACTTTTTTAGAAATACATAAATTAAGAGACAAAACATTATGAGAAAAAAAGTTTAAGAATAAATGTAGAAACAAAAGAAAACTAATGCTACCTTATAAGTAGTTAGCCTGTCAACATAATTTAGAAGCTTCAAATGACACAGTTGCTTCTGTTTCAGATTAAGTCTGGAAATTAATAAGAGATATTTATTATTTTGCTACAAACTGATTATGTGTGGACCCTGTTGTAAAAAGTAATAATAGTTTAGAGGTAAAGCAGATTTATATTTTCCTAAGATATATATTTATTGCAACATATTTCTGCAAGGAAAACTTAATTGTTTAGAAATTGCAGAACATTACTTGAGCAAAATGGATTAATCACTTTTTAACCTATGAGGTCATCATATAATCAATTTCTGTTATTTTATAGTAATTCTTAAAAATGTGTGCAAACAATGTTTTACTATAATTACTTCTACACCTTCTGAATAATATAACTTAACATATTTTTTTTAATATTGCTTTCATTAAAATGGTTAGAAAATTGTATGGATTTCAAAAATATGAGGACATTCATATTCAATGCCAAGATCAAAGAAAAGCCATGATCTCCAATGAATCTGTAGCTGAAAAATTTAGTGTTAAAGGGATTCTGAGATTTGTACAGCATTGAGTAAAAGAATGGTACAATCCTCTTCTCCCAATAAAGATAGTATGAACTCAACACATTTATCTTTAGTACAACTTCATATTTTATTTTATAACTAAGCATTGAGAAGTCAACCCAGTTTCAGATTTACAACCATCAATGCTTTACTGCGTTTTCTTGTAAATTTTGAATCCAACCCAGAAGACAAGACAACTCCTGGATCAAACATTGGGACTAACCAACCCTTGTAATGGTGCTCACAATTTTTGAACAGAACTTCCTTTATAACTCAAAATANTGTGCAATGAATTATGGAGGTTCAAAAATTATAAACCTTTTCCTATTATATTATTTTCTTTTGATAGGTTAAAGTAGATTGTATAAAAAATATCAAATATTTATTGATACAAGTAATTATTATGTGTACAATGGTTACACCTATAGAAATTTTACCTTTTACCAAAGTTCAAGGTTTTGGACACTTTAAGACAGTTTTATCCAGTTTAAGACAGTAAGACCAGTCCAAAACCAGTTTAGTACGTCCAAAACCCTGTAATGATTTGTTCGATGTTTGTAATCTATAACTGAATCGTCCAATTAAAAAAAAGGTTTTAAACTCGACATTTTTGTTCAGTAACAGTAAATTAAATAGTTAGTTCGAATAAAAAGTGTTCACTGCCTCCATAGAAACTGAAAAGTTAAAATATTCAAAATAGTTTTGCACTTAAATTTGAATATTCTTCAGCTCTTATAGATAATCTGAGATAGTATTTAACTGCAGCAAGAAACAGAGTATTTCATANTACATTGTTCATATTGCTTTGCCAATATTTTACTTATCCTACATGATCACCAGTTACCATCTAAAGATCATTGCGATTCCAAACCATACATTGAACAGGAGAATCATGAGCCTTAAACAGATTTACAAGAAATTAAAATACATTCAACTTATTAGAAAAAATATATAGCAACAAGTAGGGTTAGGATATTGATAGCCTAAAAATTCTTAAAAAATGCCTTTTAAAAAGAAACCTTTAAGAAAAATTTTAAAAACTTATCAAAAATTTAAAAACTTTTTAAAAAAAAACTGTCTAGCTATGTTTTACACAAAGAACTTGCAAAAATGTATATTTTGCATAAGATATTTTTCTCCAACCTTTTTGAAATAAATTTTGACTTTGTCAAACTTCATCAAGAAAAATAAATAAAGTTATCACTTTCAGACATAAATACATTTTCTAGTTTCAAATATTTTTATAAATCTTGTTAATATACATAGTAGAGATAAACAAATTTAGCATTTTTAAAAAAAAAAATTATAATTATAAAATTATAATTTTTAATATTGCATTATTTATCCTTATGCAAAAACATTATTTATCAGTTTTGTTGTTCAATGAATCGTGGAGCTTCAAAAATTATAAACCTTTTCCTGTTATATTATATTATTTTCCTTTAATAAGTTAAAGTAAATTATATAAAAATTTCAAATATTTATTGATACAGGTAATTATTATGTGTACAATGGTTACACATATAGAATTTTTACCTTTTACCTAAGTTCAAGGTTTTGGACACTTTAAGACAGTTTTATCCAGTTTAAGACAGTAAAACCCACTTGTCCTGTCCAAAGTATTGTCAGTATTGCTGATGCACTGATGAAGGTTGCCCTTTGAGCATCCGAAACAGCTGTCTGCCTTTAATAATATTTTTGTGCTGTTTAACGTTGTCTAACTTAGTTTGTATTTTAGCACAAAGGTCGCCCACTTGTGTATTTAGTAAATTATCTAGTTAGTTGGAATAAAAAGTGTTCTAGAATTTTAATCAGTAGCAAATTATTATATTTAAATTGTCCTTGCAATATACAGTAATGAATTCAAAAAGTTATATTAAAATAAATATTTAAAAATTGCAGAACCTGATTCCTCGTAAGGGTTCTTTATGTGCTTGGAATATTTTTACGTTGTTCATATTGCTTTGCCAATATTTTACTTATCCTACATGATCACCAGTTACCATCCAAAGATCATTGCGATTCCAAACCATACATTGAGCAGGAGAATCATGAGCCTAAACATAATTACAAGAAATTAAAATACATTCAACCTATTAGAAAAAATATATAGCAACAAGTAG